GTGCATTGAAAAAAATTCACGAGTTTTATATTGTTTGAAGTCATATGAGTCATCAGTGCTTCATAAACACACAAACTTATATGGTTAAAATTATTTCTACAGCTTCAGAGTGTTGCTCCATGTTCTTGTTTTTCAGCTTCTGGAAGCTTTTCCCCATAAATTAGTACATATTTTACAGCAGTAACTTTTAAATAATCATTTATGTGGAAGTAAAACTGTTAACTGCATTCTGTAAAATAGCTAATTGTCTGCGCCATTAAATTGGCTATATTTGTATTGCTTAATATGGCAATGCTATGTTGCTTCGATAATGTAGTTTATAAACCTTTAGTCGCTCGCTTGTTTCGATGCTTCATTGGAAGCAAAATTTAAAAAGTTAAATAAAAATATTAAAAATGTTAAATGGTGTTTGTATTTTAAATTTATAATACAGTCCACTTGAAAATAATGCAACAAAGACAACGAAGTTTTAATTAAAGGGGATTGTTTTGTTTGTTGAAAGAGTGCAAGACTAGTGGTACATTCTGAGATGTTTATACATTCACTAAGTTATTCATTTTTGGTTATATTATGCTGTTTTACTATATTTATTCTAACACACTACGTGCCTAATTTTTACTATCAAGACAACGAACTCTTTTGTTACTTTATGATGAATAAACTGTAATCTGTTATAAATATAAAAATATAGAAGTTTGGAATCATGCAACTAAAAATGAAATGTGAATATAAAAAAGCAAAAACCAGTTCAAATAAATACTAGGCACTGAACTGATTTTTAGGTCAAATGAAACAAGAAAACACTGGAATTAAAAAAAAAATGGCCCGACACAGTATTTTATCCAATTTTGCTGTGGCAGTCAATGCATTAAAATAGGGGGAAAAATTCAGTATTGAAATGTGGGTAATGTAAATTGCAAATACATGTCCATATACATTGAAAATATATGTCCATATACATTGAAAACAAAAGGGAAAAAGTTCTATTTCTCAGGTTTTTGATAATTATCAATAAAATTTAATTTACATTTTTCATATGTAAATGGGATTATTTAGGATTTATATGCACAACAGCATGCTAAAATACATCTTTTAATACAAACTCTGGTTTTTGATAATTATCAATAAAATTTAATTTACAGTTTACATATATAAATGGGATTATTTAGGATTTATATTGTTACGAAATGTCTAGGCGCGGTGGGATAGCTTCCCCGCAAGACAGGTTTAGGGTTGCCATAAAACGGCAAGGGAAGGCAGGGTTGCCACATTTGGCGACAAAAATTGGCGATATGCCATAGACGGATGGAGAACCTTCTGGACAAATTCTTACCGGTTTAGCCCAGAATGCTCTCGAACACAAGCCAAAAGCTATATAAACCCTGCTGGTGCACGGAGAGTTAGTATCGAGTCAGTTAGTTAGTGAGATTCCATTGAGTTGATAGTCAGTGAGTACCGAGTTGGTCGTTGAGTGCATCGAAAGAGTCTCTTAGTGTATTGTCAAGAGAGTGTGTTGAGCTCCGGGAACGACTGAACTGAGGAGTCGGGAGCTGTACTCTAGTGTATTGTCGAATGCATGGAGAGTATCGAGAGTATGTGGAGTTCCGAGAACGATCGAGCAGAGTCAGTAGCTGTACTCTGGTGCTTTGCAGTGAAGCTGTCTTCACTGTGATGGCCTGATAACCTGAAGACTGTGTCGCTGATTGTTCCAGCGAGTTTATAGTAGATCTGATGACTGTAAATGTGATATTCGAGTCGTCTTGAACAATACTGGCCAATAACGTGAGTTTCGATACTTTATTAAGTAGTGTCGTCCTTATTCACTCCAAATCCACACAAACCCCGAACATGAAGTGAAGGAAGAAAATCACGTAACAACTAGTGTCAGAAGTGGGATTTGCGAGTGAATGCCAGTGTGCAGAGGCAAGCCATGGTGGAGGAAAGGAAGACTTTGATGGACTTAGCCCAGATCAAAGACGAACTGAAAGAGATAAAAGCCGGATATGAGGAGATAAAAGCTGGATATGAAGAGATGACAGTTGATATGAAAGCCAGACAAGATGAAAGCCGGCCGAAAAAAAGTGCGAGAGCAAATACAAGATCTGAAAATTGAGCTTGCAGAATAAACTGGAGCCATAAAAGAAGATGCAGAAATGACAGAAGTGGTGTCTGAAGAATCGAAGGATGGAGAAATGAATGGAGTAGCTGATGAAGTGTCTGAGAAAGATCAAGAAATGAAGGATGAAACATCTAAGGAGATTGAGGAAAAAGAACAAAAACATGAAGAAGTGAAAGACGCTTCTCATCCTCAGGTGTCTGAAGTTGAACTGGAAGAAACTGATAATACTCTTTGTAAAGATGAAGAAAAAAAATTGGCTTGTAAAGCTTCTGAAAGAGGTGAAGAAATAATTCCTGGAAATAAAATTCTGGATTTAAAGTGCCTGAAGTAGAGACAGAAGAAAGTGAAAATACGACTGTCAAGATAGTAGAAACTGATAGTGAAGTTATGAAGTCGCAGTTAGCAAGTATTGAACAATCTGAAAGTTCATGTCATGCTGAGATGGAAGAAGCTGATGTACAGCTTATGCAGAGTGCTCCAGTACTGCAAGAAAATTCACTCACTTTGCAAATTATGTGTGCACCTCATAGTGCAGGTTGTGTAGACAAGAACTTGATTCTAAACCTGGATACTTGTGTTTGTGAAGAATCATGTTCTGTTCATGACTCATGTAGAATTTGGAACTGGTTCCCAGGAAACAGAGGAAAATGCGCATGTACCAGCTGCTGAAAATACCAACGTGAACTGTGCACATGATGCGAACAAACTTCAGAATGGTGAACAAACTGTTTCAGATCTTTCTGTGGATGAAAAGTCGGAAAGGACTGAATCTACAGACTGTGATATGCATATCAGAAATATATCTGAGAACTGCAGTGCAGAGAGAATTAGTATCAAGTCAGTTAGTTATTGAGAGTCCATCGAGTTGATAGACAGTCAGTGAGTGCTGAGTTGGCTGTTGAGTACACCGAAAGAGTCTCTTAGTATATCGCGGTTAGTGCATCATCGAGAGAGTGTGTTGAGATCCGGAAACGACTAAACTGAGGAGTCGGAAGCTGTACTCTAGTGTATCGCCCAATGCATCGCGAGTTGTAATGTGGAGAGTCTTGAGAGTACGTGGAGTTCCGAGAGTGACCAAGAGTATGTGGAGTCGGGAGCTGTACTCTGGTGCTTTGCAGTGAAGCTGTCTTCACCGTGATAGCCTGATAACCTGAAGGCTGTGTTGCTGATTGTTTTAGCGAGTTTATAGTAGATCTTCGACAACTGTAAATGTGATATTCAAGCTGTTTTGAATAATACTGGTCAATAAAGTGTGTTTTGATACTTCATCGAGTGCTGCTGTCATTATTCACTCCAAATCCGCACAAACCCTATACGTACGTAATATGAAGAAAGAAAAAAATAACGTAACAATATGCAGAGCAACGTGCTAAAATACATCTTTTGATGCAAAATCAAACTTTTCTTGAAACCCATGCCAATTTTCTCCTTTATAGTTCAATTATATACTTGAAATTATATCTAAATATGAAATTTTGTAAATACTGCACCAGCATTACAAAACAAATGTTAAAAAATATAAATATAAAAAGAGAGTCTTTCCATCCACTCACCCTCCCCTAGCTGCCAAAATACAATGATAAAACTGTATAACAAAATTTCACTTGAAGAGTATAATTTAGCATACGGATCTTCAACCTTTCACGCCCGAGAGCCACATCAATAAATTCGCAAAGATCCTCAGGCCACATGTTTGTCAAAAAAAATAGTGTAGTCAGAACATTTACATAGAAAAGGGAGGTTTATTTTGCAAGCCTGCAATTCATTCTAAGCGAAGAGATAGTGTTGCAGATTTGTATACATTGGTGCAAAAATTCAAATGAAAATTGAATTAAAATGTTTTGCAACTTTTTTTAACTATAAAAAAAAAAAAGTATAAAGATGATTGTACAACAATGGTATAAAATGCATTTACAATAAAAAAAGAAGAAAAAAACTTACATTACTGGAGGAAGATGGTAGTTACTTTAGTTTTTAATGTGAAACTTGACATTGTTTTTGCTTGATTAAAGCTTTGATATCCGGTTTAATCTATGTTGTTGCAATTCGTAAAGTTTCCTCCAAATGTCTCTCTGTCAGCCGTGTTTTTGATTTCAGGATTTTCATTTTACTAAAAGATTGTTCACATATGTAGGCACTGCCAAAGATAGAAGACATGAAGAGAGCATGTTTACGAATTCCTGGATACTTGTCTTCGGTCACGTTCTTCGAATAGAAATCAATTAATGTAGGATCTTCAAAGACCTTGCATTTTACTGCAGAGACACACTATAAATCTATGAATTCTAATTGAAGTTCAGGTGGAACACTTCCAATGTCTACTGAAAATGACAAGGAGAACATTTTCATAAACATTTCATTTTCACGAAAAATCGGAAAATCTGCTTTTGAATTCCTCTTTCAAATTTGAAGTGCTTCGTATATAATTATTTGAATTCCATGTTGTAGAGTTCTACACACTATCAATTTTGGAAAGTGAGGGGAATTCTTATTGGCTTTCCCACAGGATTAATTTATCTCAAAAGAAGCTTTCACAAAGTAATAAAGATTATGAACAAGTAGATCTTTTCCCAGTAAGCAGTAGTTCAAATTATTGAGATGACCTGTAATATCGACAAGAAATGCAAAGTCTCTCAACCATTTCTCATCACTGAATTCGTGAATAGATTTGACTTTAGATTCCATGAATTATTGAACTTCGTTCTTCAAAGAAAGCAGGCGCAGAAGCATCTTTCCCTGGCTCAACCAATGTACTTCCGCGTAATACACAACATCACCATATTCAGCTTCCAAATCCCTCAAGAACTGTTGAAATTGCCTGTAATTAAGTCCTTTAGACCGAATGAAATTAACCACTTTTACAACAACATTCATCACATGTTCAAGGTTTGAGAAGGACTTTTTGCACAAATTTTCTTAGTGGATTGATGCAGTGGAAAGTCATCCTAGTATTATTTCCACTTCCCTTCACATCAGATTTGAGTAATGTTGCTATTCCTATTTTCTCTCCAGTCATAGATTTAGCACCATCCCTAGTTATAGCAGACATATTACTGAAGTCTAACTCACATTTTTCCAAAGTTTGTGTCAGACTCGAATACAAATTTGTTCCTCGTGTTGTACCTTTAAGTGCAAAGACACTGGCTTCCTCTGCATTTGTGAAGTCTCTATCAAACCTACAAATAAAAATGGCTACTTATGCAGTATCTGTTGATTCATCCATTGCTAAAACTCAAATTTTTTGCATTTGGATTTTAATTTTCTGAATATATCTGTTGCGAGATCCTCTATGCACCTTACTGCTGTCACACCAGACAAGCTAATATACTATATGACTTGAGCCTGTGATGGACAAAGCACATCAACTGCACTCTGAAAGCATTCTTTTACAAGTTCTCCATCAGCAAAAGGTTTTCCACTTTTAGCAATTTTTTCTGCAATCACGTAACTAACATGAACACTATTTTCAGATTCTTTATTCGTTGTGGTGAAGGTTGTATTCCTTCATCACAGCTACGCTGTCAATGCAAGTAAAGCAAACTGCCTTACCCTTATTTACAACAATAAAAATAAAGATCTGACCACTTTTCTTTATATATATATATATATATATATAATATATATATATATATAATATATAAATATATATATATAATATATATAGATATATATATATATAAAAGAGCACTTTCCTTCAATTTTCTTCTTCTTTTTTTTTTTTTTTTATTACGGCTGCATTTTGTACTCTGAATTTTAGAAGTGAGTAACCTAGCTTAAAATCAACTGTAGAAAATCTACTTATCACCAAATCAAACAGCATGTTTATGATCACCGTTCTCTTTGATAACTGATTGCAAGATTAAGAGAAATAAAATTCTGTTAATTTATTCCTGTTCCCCTCTATAGTAGCAGCACGCTCAACGTCATCTTTGGCGAAGTATTGACGAAAAATTGACATCTGTTGTAAACGTGTTAGAGATAAGAATCTACCCTTTTTATGGAATTGAGATTTTATGTGTAGTCAAACTCTTTGTTTTTAAAATTACATAAGATAAAGTGAATTTTTTGAAGAACTTATCATTTTTGGAAAATTTTATCTCAAATAATATCAAGAATAAGAGAAAAAAATTATGACAAAACGCTCACAAGGCAATTTTTCGTGAAATCAAAATTTATTAAAATTCTTCAATTTTTCTTCAAGATTAAAATATGGGGCCACTAAAATGACTTCAGCGGGCCACAGGTTGAAGACCCCTAATTTAGCACATGCTCATTTAAAGATGTATAAAAAGGAAGTTTGCATTAACAAAAAAGCTAAAATTTGGTCCCCCCCTTTTTGTGAAAAGCTTATAATTACATCAATTTTTAAACACAAAAAGCTGTAAAACTATTTGCACAACTTTTTACAATTGGTCTTTAGACATATTTTGAGGCTATGGAAGAAAAATTCCTTTATGTCATTTTAGACAAAGTTTGTGTCAAAAAAACTAACTGAAGCATTGTTATATATAAATTTTATATATATTCTAATTACTGTTTGGGACATGAAAAATGTAATTTAAATTTTATTGATTGCTATTTAAATCTATTGAAAAGGGTAAAAATAATATTACCAAATGGATAAAAACACTTAATTAATTTCCATTACCACTCTCAAGTGGATCTTTGCCTTCTAATTGTCTTTTGAACCACTTGATTTCATTCTGCTATATACAGCATTTTATCTTAGGTAAATATTCCTTGAGAAATTAGATTTCTAGATTTTAATTACATTTGCTACATTTTAAACTAATTATCACCATTAATATATGCAATAATATCCTATCCTGCTTTGTTAAACCTATTTATATTGTTATCTATGTAGTAGCCTAGGTATTTTACAGTAGACTTTTATGGAAGTTTCATTAACTCGATTTTTTTTTTTTTACTACTTGAAACTTTTTTCTGCTCATTTCAGGTAACACAATTTGAAAAAAAAAAAAAAAAAAAAAGAGATAAACTGAAGAATATGATGCAAGACAGATTCAACTACATGTAATCTGAAATTTTAAAATGTTAAGCTTTGTATTGTATGTTGATATATTAATTTCAGAAAGAAAGAAAAATGGCACTGATATTATAAGAAATAATGTTTCAAAATTACTGTAAATTTGATAAATACTTAATAAAATATAACAATTTGCAAAATTATTCTTATCCTCTGAATATAAAAAACTTTTAATAGAAAACACACATCAATTCAGAATATTTTATGAAAATATCATTAGCAAAATATATTTGTAGGGAGAATGCAGATTATTAGATTCTAATAAAGAATTATAATTTACATACTTTTTATCTCCATATCACAATATAATAATTCTTTTTTCCTATATAAAAAAAATATATGTATATATTAATGTGTAAAAATAAAATACTTATGCAGTTTACAACCAAATGCTTAATTAATATTTTACCTATTCGTATTAAAGATATATTATTTGGTAGTATGTGATGATTAGGTACTAGCACAGCTTCAGAAGTTATTCTTTCAAAATTCAAATACAAGCCTCCTCCAGCTATAATACGCTTTGCATCACCTAAAACAAAAATAAAGATCTAAATATGTATGCCCTATTATTAATATAATGAAAATTAGAAATGATTTACTACAAATATTTTTTTACGTGAAATCTTCTCTTATATTTTCTATCACATGTATGTACAAAAATATATATACATAATATGAAAGAAAAATACTTTTTTAATTTATTAGGTTAACTAAGTTTATTAAAAAAAGATTCCCTAGAGTGTCATAAACAACCACCCAGACGGTATAGTGGTTAGCAGAGCCTGACTGCGATGCCAAAGGGTTTGAATCCTGGAGAAGACATGGATGTAAAATTGTCTGTCCCTTCAAAGGATGGCCGCCTATTAGGTGCCTCCACAATAAACTGATCACTGTTTCTGGCCTTAGTAGTGGCCAATGCCGTTATAAGCAAGTGCCCACCATTTGTTAAAAAAAAAAAAAAAGTCATAAATACTGCTAATTGTAAACCAAATGTAAAGATGATTGAAATAACAGAAAAGCAAGACAAGATATAGATGAAAGACATAAATTAATCAAAATAAAATTAAACATCAATAACTAAAAAACTACCATACACTGAAAAAGATTGGTAAAATGTTGTAAAATATCAATAAATAAAATGAAATACCAGAAACAGAAAAGAAAAACAGTAAAATGTAACAAAAATGTTCCACAATAAAATACAATTTTCTAGGAATTACATTTTAGTTGAGTAATTTATTAAGTAACCACATAACAAATCACTTTACTACAGCCTTTTATCTAATGTATATTCATGCAGCAGCAGTGCTAAATAGACAATACAAATGGAAAAACTTTAGAGAAAACCGCCAATTGGTGAGAGACAGTAAACCTGTATGGCAACCTTACGGGCTGACGGGGATAAACGAGTTTTTCTCCGGCAGTCTTCTGTGTTACACTTCAATCTTGCGCTTCACCGGAATAAGTAAACTTCGGTGCCCATGTCTGTGTTGGGTCCCTACTTTGTCTTTTCTTAAGCTATTATAATGTATCCCACTATGTTACATTTCTTTATTAACTGTATATGTCTATCTCAATTTAGATTGCTTTTTTGGTTAATGCTATCAACACTCTAGTAGGCACGTGTTACTTACGGGTACCTCACTGGTGACCCTGTCTCTCACGCCTTCTATTTCAGATTCCTAATAGCTATAAAGCTAAAAATCTGCCTTATTTTGATGAGAATGCTCTTTTTTATACTCTAAACTTTTTTTTTTTTTTTTTTTAAATTTCCTTCTCATTTTATCGTATGGATTACATGTGGTTTATCACACTGTTAAGGAGGATTTACAGGTATGAGGTCAATTTTTTTTACCAATTTGTGATTGGTCTCAATACATTTTTGCGATGAGTTTTGCTTTAAAATTATAGTTTTAATTTAAACTTAATTATTCATTGTTTAAAAATTGATCTTTGTGTAATATTTGTGCTTGCAATTTTATTGAGATATTGAATGACTTTATTAGGATACGGTACATAAGTCCTAAAGCATAGTGCAAGTCATTCAGTTAATGATTTACAAAATATTTATAATTGTTAACCATGCCAGGATCGGAAAGCTAAACCAACGATGAATATAATGTGGTGGCTCAGGATCCACAAATCTCACAAGTGGTGGTTAAAATTCCCCCTTTATGGAAAAATAATGTTAAACTTGACATAGGTTTATTCAAGTTCAAAGTAACTTTGCTATAGCAAAGATTAGCAATGATATTACAAAATATAACTATGTGATTTCTTCCATAGACACCGACACTCTTTTCGCCATTCAGATATTTTATTTAACCCCCCCGTGATGGAAAAATATAATGCCCTAAAAGCTAGGTTAATAGCGGAATTCTCAGATTCGGAAAACAAGAAAAAATATGCAGGCTTATTTCTGAACTGCATTTAGGAGATGACAAACCATCTCACTTATTGAGAAAAAATGAGAGAATTGGGTGGAAAATATACAACTGTATACTAAATAATACAATTTTTAATACAATTTTAAATATACAATTTTTAAAAAATCATTACAGCTGCAAAGGTTACCTTCCGAGGTGCACGCAATTCTGTCAATTAGTTTTGAATCCTTGGATAATTTAGCAAAAATAGCTGAAGTGCGCACGCCAATGAACAATAATGTTTGCTTCGGTGAGCCCCCCCCCCAGCGATCTGAACGATTCTTCCATTTCCCTCAAAGATCTCAAGGCTTTAAGGAGCGGAATGGCTGCGCTAAGTAAACTCGAGCGACTTTCCTGTGGAAAAACAAGAAATAAATTCCCCTGGGATCCACATAAGAGACCACACAGTTTTTCACATGATCATTTATGAGATCGTGTTAACGATTATTGTTATTTTCATTCACGATTTGGTAATAATGCATGAAAATGCTGAGTACCTTCTTCTTCTTTTCAGAATACTATAGGCCAGGAAAACTAGTAGTAGCAGCTGTCGATCGAAACTTGTCGGCAGTCGCGCATTCATGTCATTTGCTTTTTTACGATAACAGATTAAATTAACATTTTTTTATTGTTTTGGGCTCAGATGTCTCATTTGTCCCACCGACTTCTAGGTTTAAGAAAATTGATCCTGATTTGCTATAATTATTTGCTGTGAATAATTCCAGAATTTCTATGTACGGTACAAAATTATTAAACGTGAATTTAGGACTCAGACGAAACTTTTCTTGGAAGTTTTTAGTCACCGATGTACGTGCCTATAATAGAAGCCAATTTTTTAAAACATTTTTACCTTTTAATGGATTTAAAATGAGGTAGGCTCATTGAAAATATTACAAAATTAACTCGAATTGGTTCTCTTTCCGATTCTGAAAATTATTTTTCGGTAAAGCTAATATCAGGCGATTCACCATATCACAGAATTTTGAAAGACTTTTTCCGACTTATTGAAGTTAAAATCTGATTTGGGCAGAGTAAAGCATAGCTTGGTTCATTACATTAAAACAAACGGTTCTCCTGCATATAAGTAAGCCACATAGGCTAAATCCTAAGTTATACGAAGCAGTAAAATTTTCTTAATCACCAATCACAAGCCAGTTACGTATGCATTTCAACAGCATTTGGATAAGTGTTCACCTCATCAGGCTAGGCAGTTAGACTTTATTTCACAATTAAAAACCGAAGTTCATCATATAAAAGGTTCGGAGAATATTGCTGCCAATGCACTTTCGTGCATAGAAGTGATAAGCATGCTTAACCCTATCATCTATGAGGAAATTGCTAAAATGAAACAAATCGATCCAGAATTACAAATTTTACTTAAAGATTAAAAAATTTTACAACTCAAAATGTTACCTTAACTAATTGTAGCTTACCAATATATTGCGATTTGTCAGCAGGTGCCGCCTGCCCTTACATTCACTTCCCTGGCATTTCATGAGAAAGTTTTAGCAACATTGCACAATTTGTCTCACCCCGCCACTCGAATATCAACAAAGTTAATATGTTCTCGGTTTGTTTGGTCTTCCATCCGTAAAGATTGTGCAAACTTCGTATGACAGTAGATTCCATGCCAGAAAGCAAAAGTAAGCAGACATACTAGAACCCATTAATGAAATTTCCAAACCAATCACAGAGATTTGATCACGTCCACCTTGACCTCGTTGGTCTGCTACCTCCTTCTCAGAATAATGATTAATGTTTAACTATGATAGATAGGTTTACTAGATGACCCAAAGCGGTACCCATACCAGACATAATTGCATGCACAATAGCACAGGCTTTTTACGACCACTGGATTACTCAATTTGGCTGTCTGGCTGTTATTAGTACTGATCAAGGGCAACAGTTTGAAAGCAGCTTATTTTGAGCCTTTTCACAATTATTGGGAATCAAGAGGATCAGGACGTCTCCATACCACCCACAGGTGAATGGACTTAATGAGGAGTTTCACAGTCTGCTGAAAGCTGCCTTAAAAGTGTATGATACGAGTCACTGGGTGGCAGCCCTTCCAATGCTCCTGATGGGTTTCCACTCTGCTCTCAAGCAGGACACAGGGGCAGCCACTTCTGAACTTGTGTACAGAAAGACTATTTGTCTCCCAGGAGAATTTTTTTATCCAATACCTAGGGATGCATCTCCCAAACAGTTTGTGGAGGACTTAAAATCCCACTTTGCCAGTGTCTGCCCAACCACGACTTCCAGCCATGGCCAGAGCAGCTGTTTTGTTCATCTTGTACTTAACAACTCCGCACATGTTTTTTTTTTTTTTTTTTTTTTTTTTTTTTTTTTTTTTTTTTTTGACATAATGGAGATAGAAAGCCACTCTAAGCTCCTTATAATGGACCATTTAAAGCGCTAGCAAGACGAGATAAAACATTTGATCTCGAAATAAAAGGGATTAAGCAAATGATCTCCATAGATAGACTGAAACCCGCTTTTATAACTATGGACTCAAGTTGTCTCCCAGAGTGTGAAAAAACCTTTAAAAATTTGTACCATCCATTCTGGATGATTAATCAGACCTTCCCATCAGTATGTCACATTTTGTTGACATTGCGGAGGGAATATGCAGCGGCAGCACCAAACAGGCGATACAAATGCAAAAACTCTAGAGATAACTGCCAAATGGCAAAAGACAGTAAACCTGTATGGCAATCTTACGGACTGACGAGTTTTTCTCCAGCAGTCCGTGTTACATTTCAGTCTTCTGCTTCATTGGGATAAGTCAATTTCGGTGCCCTCATCTGTGTTGGGTTCCCGCTCTGTCCTTCTTAAACTATTGTATAATGTATCCCACTATGTTACCTTTCCTTATTAAATTTCATTATTAATTGTCTATATCTATTTCAATTAACATTGCTTTTTTAGTTAATGCTATCAACACTCTTGTAGGCACGTGTTACTCATGCATACCTCATTCATATGAAAGAAAATCAAAAGTTAAACTTAATATGATTTGATCAAAAAATCATATACAGTGGAATCTTGGAACATGAATACCTCATTACGTGAACAAATTATCTGAACAAAAAATGCCTCAAATAATGAATGACATTTTAATTTATATTCATGTTAGCGACATATAGTTCTTCAGTGTTTTGAAGTAACCACAAAACACAATTAATATTCAAGGTCTTCTAGAAATGTCATTTTAATGATTCTTGTTGATAGCTCCACAGGGTCTAGAAAGAAGTAAGTGATATAGAGGAGAAAGAATATAGTTTGCAGAAAATTATGGCCAGATTGAGTTGCAGAGAGTTGTAGGGCTTTTTTGTTATCTATAATATTGTTTCTAGACAAAATGATATGCTAGAAGTTAACAATGATGACACAAAAGTCTTTCAAAATGAGCTTAATAAGAAAGAACTACAACTGCAGAAGAAGCAACAAAAGTCTTCAAAACAGGAAGAAATATCTTCAAGGAAAAAAAATTATCTCTGATGCATGAAATTTGTAAAAAATGGGGTAAGATGCAAAGTGTTCATTGAATATTATCGTCCTAACAGAGAAGTAGGAAGCTACAACATATACATTTTCAATAGCAATGTCATGACATTAGAAACATTTTAAGACTTAAGCAACAATGCATCACACTGGCACAAATTTTAAGTGAAAAGGCACAGTGCTTAAGGCACAGTGGATTTCTGAGGCAAAGAAACGATAAAAGATGCCTTCTAAAGCAGCACTCCTTTCAGAAGGTGGTGCATAAAGGCATTTTTATGGAAGGGAATTTCACATCCAAACAATAGAATCTTAAATTTCCATTTACCACTTCTATACTTCTTTGTAGTTTACTGTAAAATTAAACTTTTGCCTAATTCACCTGCTTAATATTGTGGTTATCTTTCTTGTTTTAAATTTATTGATTTCCACTGACTTTGGATTATGAACTTGCATACAAAGTACTGTAATAAATTTTAAATAAGGAATCTTCTGTGGTTCAGGAACGAATTAATCCATTTTATATTAATTCCTATGGGTAGAACTGCTTTGGTTTATGAACAACCTTTAAGAACAGATTAAATTCATATACTGGATGGTTGTACCACAGGTATATCCTATATCTTGAGATACTGGTAAGCATAGGTTTGTTTGTCAAATGGGAAGTATGATGCAGCAAGCAATAACCATGATGGCCTTCTACGTGAAAGTGTGCATGAAGAAGAAAAAGCAATAATTATCAGTTTAAAATTATTGAAAATGAAAAACCTGCAGGTATTCCTCAGAAGATAAAACAGGCAGCAGTTTGAAATTATTAAAGGTAAAAATTCTGCAGGTGTTCCTCAGAAGATAAAACAGGCATCAGTTTGAAATTATTAAAGGTAAAAATTCTGCAGGTGTTCCTCAGAAGATAAAACAGGCATCAGTTTGAAATTATTAAAGGTAAAAATTCTGCAGGTATTCCTCAGACAGTAAAACAGGCAGCAACAGAAATATTAGGTATCCAAAAAAGCTTGTGCTGCTGCAGCAAAAATTGAAATTCAAATAGAAGGTGTTGGACATTTTTTTAAAGATGATTCCAAATGCTGACATTTCCATCAATAAGTCAGTAGGTGCAGAGTTGTGAGATGTGTCAGTCAAGTCTGTAGGAACTACATTTTGAAGTGAACATGTTAGTATCAAAGAGTGCAAAAATGACTAGACTGTCATTTCTCACTGAAAACTATCGCATGAAATTTTTTGGATACCTTATACCAACCCCTTCAGCAAACATATAAGCACATCAAATGCACATGCAAGCAAATATTTGCTGGTAAGATATTCAAGTATCAGCAATGATATAAAGCAGTTTATGTAGCAGCAGCTACACAGTTACACACATATATACATGTATTTTAATCTAAGCATTAGTGAAGTTCTGAGATAACTAACTGTATAAATGAAGCATGAATTAAAAATGAAGCGTCTTCAAGCTGCCCAGTTGACAAGGGAAGCCAGCAACCATAGCCTTTTGGCCTGGTTTCGAATCCTGGAGAAAGCATAAATGCAAATGAGTATATTGTATCTTTGCAGCATGGGGACACTGTGAAGCTGAAAGTTCTCTCGAAAGCATGATGGCAAAGGAAGAGGAGTAGGAGACCCCTGGAACCATCTGCTATCAAAATTGTGCCACAGCTAGGTCAAACTGTCATCTAAAAGGTGCTCAAGGCATTGGCCAAGCACAGACACTTATAGTCACTATGAATTTATAGACAAGGATTGAGATCCTCTCAGATCACGAGGATAAGAAATAACAACAGTATTTTCAATCTTACTAGTGTATATTCTATTAATAAAAATTTAATCAAGTTATATTTGGATTTGTCCTCATATATTTGAACAGTTGCACATACTTGCATGTGTTTATTTACTATATAACTAATAGTGAAAGAAATTATAGAATTTTTTCCTTTATACTTTAATATGCATATCAAATGATGATAGAGGACATCTTAATGCATCCAGAGTTTCAAGATCTAAATTATGAATAATATAACACACATAAATTCCAGGTTTGCTAAACAGACTTTCAACAAAAATGATAATAAACTATAATTAAATATTTTCATAACTGCCAAAATCGTGCAAATAGCTCAATTAATTTAAAATGTTTTACTAAAGTAAATTTTGGAGCTGTTTATATCTGATCTTGCTACATAGCAATTAAATTGATTTTTGTTGAAACTCTTCTTAAAAAAAAAAAAAAAAAAGCAAAATCGATTAGCAATGGAAAAACGTGCCCCAGTTTTTTTTTTTTTTTTTTTTCTTACATCTCATATTTTAGTGGAGTAGATTAGAACTGTTTAGCAGTTCTGAAATCTACTTCAGCTTCCATTTTTCTTCTACAAGTTGTAGTTTCTTCTACAATTGTAAACTTTTAGTAGTGCTCAGTGATGTGATAAATCTCATAGGTTTAATGATATTCAATAGCAATCAATATATTTTATCTAAAATCTAATTTAAATATTACCAAAATTTAATATAAATATAATGATACTGAAAGTATTTTTCCCAATATTTTTTTTATTTCATTTTCAGAACATTTAATCAAGATTCTATTGCTAATTATCAGTTTGAAATTAAGACTAAGTTTGCAACATTCTACTTTTAAATCCATCATAGAAATTATCAAGGAATAAATTTTATGTTTGCTGTTTCATCATTATTTAGTAAGATAAGTTATTTTGAACTGCAGCTTTAAGAAGCATTTTGAGAAAACATAAACTCTTTCAAATGGATTTGTTAAATGACACACAATTCCAGTAGAGCCTTGATTATCCCAATTGATCTGGAAATAATACAACTGTACAGGTAATCTTGCAAAAAATGTTCTTACTTTTAAAAATAATTATTTGAAGCAACTGATTTATTCATATATACCAACCATGATTATCTTAATCTCTTATCATTATCTTAAATAAATATTTTTTCAACATTTTTATTTTATCAAATTACATTTTTTAGCACAATGAACATAAAAAAAAAAATACAAGTGTTTTATATGTTGACTAATATGGGATATGGTCTTTTCTGCTTACACTGTATTGTCCAGTATGTGCTGTGGCTTAAATTTTATTTCAGTGCAGTGTTCAGAATGGAAAACTGAAAATTTTATTTTCATCATTATGCTCTTTTATTTTAAAAAAGGGGAAAAAATGCCAGTCAAACATCTGCATTGCACATGGACAAAGTGCTGCTTCTTAAGAAACAGTTTGAAGGCGATTTAAAAAAAATTAAGTATGAAAATTTCAGCCTTAAAGATGATGTTTGCTCTGGCTGACAGTGGACAGTAAATCAGGATGTACTAAAAAAAGCAGTCTCTGGAAATGCATGTCACATAATTCAGGAGTTAGCAGACAGATTAAATATTCTAAAAATTACTGTGCACAATCATTTAAAGAAGACTGGATATGTAAGCAGCTGTGATGTATGGATATCCCATTCTAACAAAGTAGAACATGCTTGGTCAAATTTCAGTATGTAATTCTTTGTTGAAATATAATACAGAAACTTCTCTCTCTCTCTTTTTTTAAGGGGGGGGCTTATTTTACTGGAGATGAGAACTTTGAAAAATGTGTGGTATGCCAGTATGCCATGACTTAATGATGTGATAAACTGTTACAACAGTGACACTAATTCTGGAGACAGGGCCGTCAAAAGAATCATATCTGCATCCCATAAACACGACCTGTTGTCAATGAGATACATATACTGTGTTGCTGCCTATTCATTTGAACAATTCATGTAAATATCTGTGATTAAATTGACTTCCCATTCTCCATGTTCTTTTTACCTACTGTATTTCTACATTCACATTTCATATTCCAACATGCATTATAATATGAAAATTATTGCCATATTTTATCACACCTTAAAGTTGTAACCATCAGTTCTGTTGTATCCTGTATAAAATTCATAATCCTCACAACTTTAACACACAACAGAAAAGAAAAAAAATCACTTTTTAATTTATAAGTGATTATTTTGAGGAATATCAGCAGCTAAAATGAATATTCCAGTATGCTATATTTTAACCCAAATTGAAAATAACACATATTAAATATTTATAATCCTACCTTCATTTAAGAAACAACCAGCTTTCATTGCTAGATCCAAAATGGATATTCCAGCTTCGAATGGAATTTCTGATACAGCTGAAAGTGGGAAAACTTGTTTCACTTCTTCTATGTTTAATTTTGCTAATGACGCTACATCAGAATGGTAAAAAACCTTTGTAGATATTTCAGCTGCCTTCAGACCTTGTTCTGGAGGAGGGAAAAATTCAGACAAAACTGATCACAAATACAGTTTGGAATTACTTACATACAAAATAAATATTTATTTCAATTTGAAATACAGTCTTTATAAGAAGATATGTTTACATAACAGAAAGTGAATAATGCATGTGAAATATTGCATATTTAGATGGAAAGTTAGATTCATCAATTATTCAAATATACAAGTGCACAATCTATGTGAAATGGGACAACATCAGACTTGAAAGACCTTCCATGAGGCATACATTTATGCTACACATTAGAAAGTACATTAAAAACTCTATATAGAGAATCCATTTGACTGGGATTAAACCCACGATATTATTTCAGCTGCTAGAATATACGCTTTATATACTTCCCAATCTCGCAAAGTAAAAAACAGAAGATTTCTGAACCAAACCCAAAACATGAAATGTAAAATTTCATGTTTTGGGTAATAATGTAAAAATTCATGTTTTGGTATTTGTAGGAAAAAATTCACTCATATCAAAAACATAATTAAAAAAGAAAATGAAAAATTGCATTTTCTTAAATATATTCATAGTAGCTGAAATTGTTTTATTAAAAATGAATCAGACAATTCAGATTCATAACACTTATTATCTAGTTTATATTTAGTTATCAAGATACTGTGTAGTCATAGAGCAGCATGACTGAGTCTTGTTTCATCTTTTTTTTTTTTTTTTTTTTTTAATACTAAAACTACAGATCCATTCTGCTTTGCTGTGAAGTACAGTTAATACAACTTTGACAACATTAGCAATCCTATCATATTTAAGAATTCCACCTACAGTACACATCTTTCCCATGAAACTAACCAAAGCATCTAATATCAATGAGAATGGGACTATTTGCTGTCAAGACATATTTTTCTTTACACGACTGTATTATATCTTGCTGTAAGTATGTAATTATATATGTTAAGTTGATTTAAAATTAATAACTCTGTTTAATTTAATTATTTCATTTAATTTAATAAATATTTTATACAAAATGTTTTTGTGTACAGTTTTATACAAATACACCATTACACATGACATATTAATTTTAAGAGAGTAATGTGCTAACAGGATTCCAAAGTAATTTAATTTTCCATTCAGATTTCATAAAAACGTGAATTTCCTGCTTGTATGTGTGATTTCCCTGAACTAGCCAATAAAATTTCAAGAAATTTTAGCGAATTATGTAAATATTGTACCCGCATAATTTTAAAACTGATAACATAACTTCTGATATAACAGAAGTTTAGCCCCAGTTCTCTTTGATAATGACATAATTTTTCAACTAACTGTCTGTAATTTCTTTATATGTCATAAATAACTATATATATATATATATTACAAGCAACCTTTATTAAGTATACAAAAGGTAAACAGAATTATTAAACTAAATAAATTTAATACGAGTATAATATGACACGATATAGTACAGTCATGTAAAGAAAAGTAAGTCTTGACGGTAAATGGTCACAGTGAAATGGTGACGGCGAAAAGTCCTAGACCCATATCAATACCTTCAGGCTATAATAATTCTGATTCCTCCCACTGCATGCTATACCATCATTTCCTCCATTTTTTGTTGTATGTAGAAATGGGAATTTGTCCACAAAATATTGAATGCTATTAAAATAAGTATCATCACTTTCTCTTTAATTAGCATTTTCTGCAAAATGTAGTGTTTCAATTTTCAGTGGAAAACTTCTGATGATGTAATTACATGCAGTTTTAAAATACAGTGAAAGATATACAAAAAATTACTTCTCTTATTATATTTTAGCTATTTTTAGCAATTTTGAAGCATAGTTTCTATTAAGCAAATGTTTACCTTCTTTCTGATTTTACAAATTTCTGTCAAATCTTTTAGTTTTTTTTTTTTTTAATTACTGAAGGCTTGACAAATTCAGTGAGAAATCTTTGTATCAATATTTACAGAAAAATATCTTTCTTCATTCTTCTTATGCAGGCTTTCTTCATTCATTTTCATTTTCTTGGGAATAGATTCAACAAAACAAGGTTTCTTGTCTTTATAAGTAGCTCTGAGCTCACTATTTGATCTTCTTACACGTAAGTAACCACTACCTTGTGTGCACATGCATTAATATTTTTCTTATTTCTTCTTTATGAATCTGATGGAAAGATTTTAAACTTTGTTTCTGGTTAACTGTTTTCTTTAAGTAATATAATACATCCACTAAAATTTGATCTATGCTTACTGATAACAGAGCAGCTGCTGAATTTATTAATCAACATGGATAATGCATAATGATTACTTCCTTTTGTTGTTTTTTCAGAAAAGCTGCCATACCTTTTTGATGACCAGTCATAAAAGGAGCATTTTCTGTACAGAAACACAGTTTGATGTATGAGTATTTACTTTGCTAAATTCATTAACAATCATAATTGAAATATTCTAACCAACTGAATCACCAACACAGGATTAGGATGACACAAAACATTTTTTTTTATTTTATCCCTTGTCACATTACAATAAAATGCAATGATTGTATAAAACTTACAATCATTTTCCTTGCTTCCATCAACAGACAAGCAAAGCAGAAAGGAGATTTTGCAAAACATTTGCTATCTCATTAAGAATGGCAGAAGATTTTGTTTTAACACACAAATATTTCTTTGTTACATCTGCTTATGAAATGTCTTCCTAAATAAATGATTAACATGATCTGCAGCATTCAAAACAATATTGTATTCAAGCAAATACTGAGTAAACTGACATCTGGCCTCTAATAATACTAACTTTAAAATCAGTAGATTTTTTAAGAAGAATTGCTGATTTTCAGATTTTTACACAAATTTTCAACATTTATGTTTTTTTTTATGATTTTAGGTGTTTCACAATATCACTTTTACATATGAAATATTATAAAATTACACCCACATATGTTGAAAAATGCATAGGTATTTCCTTTGCATAATTCTTTAATACAAAGAAACTCATCCTTGTAAGCTGGTCTAAAACACTGACAATACTCATTTTTTCAAATAAATTTTATTGATAGAAATTTTAATAAAGCACATAAAACAATATTTGACATAACTTGTTATATATTGCAACCACCAATTTATACAGGAAAGATTAAGGGAATTTTGCCAAGACAGTGAAGATACAATCGTTACTTTTATATAATTCTGTTATAATGTAGGAACTTTAAAGATACCACAATAATGCTAATGCATTAAAGAAAATCTTAAAGAAATTTACAAAACACCAACTTAAATGATGCTGAACTAAATCTGTTTTAAAGACAGTAAAATGATGATTAATCAGCACAGCGATGAACAGTATAAGAATACTCAAGTGATAAAATGCCCCATAATTTCTTCCCTCACAAAGAAAAAAAAAAAAAAAAAGGTGGATTTGCTTGATCACATGTAACATGAAAAACGGTAATCCCAAAGTTGAAATTGGGATTACCATTCTTCCTCACATAACCCTCCCGACCATGGCGGTTTTTTTTTTTTTTTTAATGGATAAAAATATACACCAAAATAAATAAATAAAAATTTTAAAAAATCCGAAAGCTTTCAGATTTTATATTACACCCAAAGAGGGCGTACTTCAATGTTTTGTGTGTTACCTTTACTTATTAAATACGTAGCATATTCGGAAACTAAGTACCGTTTCATTCTAGCGCCGTCGCAGCGCTGTGGTAGGCATCCCGCGCATGCGCACTAGTCTTTCTTGTTCACCGACTTTCAATTGTCGCCATTTTGGTTGCTCTATGTTGTGTTTTCAGTTTACTGTGCACATTCAAAATGTTTAAGACAATTAGTTCTCCTGCTGACTGTGAGATTCGTGGCGTGATTAAATTTTTGAACGCGAGGAATGTTAAACCGGCCGAAATTTATCATCAAGTGACAGAAGTTACAATGAATATGCGATAAGTGATGGAATGGTGAGAAAGTGGGTAAGAATGTTTAATGCAGGTCGAACAAATGTCCACGCCGAGGCTCGGAGTGGTCGGCCTTCTGTTGTCACCAATGATTTGGTAAGGAAGGTTGATGAAGCAATTCATGAGAACAGACGCTTCACAATGACAACTCTTTCAGAGGCATTTCCACAAATTTCATGTACTGTTTTGTTTGAAATTGCATCTGACCACTTGAATTATCGCAAACTGTGTTCCCGATGGGTTTCAAAAATGCTTACTGATGTTCACAAAACAAAGCGGACTTGGTAGTGCCCTGGCATTTCTCCCGCGGTACAGTGATGAGGAAGAAAACTTTTTAAACCAAATTGTGACAGGTGATGAAACTTAGGTGTGTCATTTCACACCAGAATCGAAACAACAATCGATGGATTGGAGACACACTCATTCTTCGAAAAAACAAAAGTTCAAAAGTGACAATGTCATCACAAAAAATCATGTGCACTGTCTCCTGGGATAGAAAAGGCATTTTGCTTACTGAATTTCTTCCCAGAGGTGAAACTGTTTATGCAGCACGATATTGTGAAACTTTAACAAAACTAAGGTGTGCCATTCAAAACAAACGAAGAGGAATGCTCAGTAAAGGAATTGTGTTGCTCCATGACAATGCTTGGCCCCATACAGCTGGTGTCACTCAATCGTTAATTCGACAGTTTCATTGGGAGCAGTTCGATCACCCGCCGTACAGCCCAGACTTGGCGCCGTCCGACTATCACTTGTTCCTGCACATGAAGCGTGAGCTTGGTGGCAAGCGCTTTGGATCCGATGATGACATGAAAAATGCTGTGGAGTCGTGGTTATCGAAACTGGCGGGAAGTTTCTTTGACGATGGTATACAAAAACTGGTCACCCGCTATGACAAGTGTTTGATCATTGGCGGAAACTATGTTGAAAAAGTTTAAGACATGTATTTTCATGTAAAAATAAAATTGGATTTGAAAAAATTGTTTTACTATTTTTTTTTTCTCAAAACGGTACTTAGTTTCCGAATACGCCTCGTATCATGTTCTTCGCACTTAAACCATAAAATTCAATTCAATAGCAATATCACAAAATACTTAAAACAGCA